GCATATATCCTCGCATAAAGTGGAGTGCCAAGTTCATGTATACTCGCATTTGTCAATAAAATCATTGCTATATCCATTGAATTGTATGCATTGTATTGCGCGCATGAGTGACTCATGCTCCCAGACCCCCCTAGCACTGGCATGCCTACGCTTGCCAGTAGGCGTAGGAATTAACCATTTAACCAGTCATCCAATTAACCCTGCGGCAGCCAAGGTTAATTTCGCCCCCCCCCCTGTCCATCAATTTCATTCCGCATTTGGAGTTCACAGGGTTAACACAGAGGAAACACTGTAATTCCCTGTACCTTGTTTATACTGTATTAAAGATTTATCAGTTCGGTTACCTAATTATAACTCATTGTTCCTACTCTCTATCACTTAGTTTCGTTCTCTATCTAGTATCTACGCATCGACACCACGGCACACGTATAAACTATAGCTATATCGATCTAATTTGTAGGCTGGTTTTACACGCGGCAGTGACACCTTTTATACCCCTAGACACAAGTGACGAATACGGTAAACATACAGTCACGGTTCAGGCGCACAGAGCAAAACCGCTACACTGGCATAGCCTGGGCGCCGCGCGCCACGTGCGCCCCGCGCCTATGGTGTACGATTTGTCAAATTAGTCAAACACATGTGTTTGTGCGAAATAACCAATATAAAATGCACAATCAACATATACTCTCTCAAAACAACATATTATTTCCACAAAAACATATATACCTGTTTGCAAATAAACATTATGAAAATCCGCGGAAACCACTACCCGTTTTCTTGGCGGGACGCACAGATGATATTCGCCCAGCGCAACATCGTTTTCTCAAAGTTATATAGTTACTAGAGCTAGTTCCCGAGCATCCCAGATTCAACAAACATTAGTTCCAGAGACCCCCACTTTCAGGTCTGAGTTAGTTGGAGAGCCCCCATTTTTGACTTCGCAGTGGCACATACCTACCATAATGAGGGGTGAGTGCCCCCCGGGGGGGAGGGGGGTCTGCGGCGTTCGCCGTGTGTGCCTGCGGCGCACACCATATAACCGCCACTTATGCTATTATTACTGGCATTATGTTTCTGCAGTAGCACATATTGGGAGGCCACTACAGCATAAACGTACCACCGGCCACCAATACAATAGCCTTCTTTCCGTTACGTTGACAGTATGGATTTTAATACACCCAGATTCTCTGTAGCCCCTATATGTATGATACCTTGGAAGAGCCTATATATAATACCAAGAGCTCTTCATAATACAGAGAAAAAGAAATTGATGAGTCATGACAGAACAAACACAGTACCGTCGCCGTCACGTGACAAGAAAAGGCTAACCGGAAGTGGCTATAGTATATATAGCGCGCTGGAACGCCTGTATATGCTTTGCCCACAGCGTAACCACAAGCAAGGATAGGCGAGTAAAGTGCAGCTGACCAGTTTTGTAAGTTCCGTGTAAATCGAGTGTTTTTAACCGTTTTTTTTTACAGCTCATGTCTTGTTAAATGACGTAGAGAATCATAGTAAGAAGTATGGCTTACGTATAAACTAGCATGGTAATGTCCGCATTGCCCGTTTCAGCGCATATATTTAAAAACGAATAATGTGAATCCGACTATTTTTCTCTCTATTCGACTATTATTTGTCAAGCCAGATAAAGCTGTCCTGCGGAACTTTGGAATATTTTCGTAAGTATTGGTATGCACAGAAACGCCTTGTCGTTGCACGAATTGCAAATGCTGTTTTTTGTTTTCCTTGTAGGTTTGCTCTACCGATATGACTCAGTTCAAGTTAACATATTTCAATGGCAGGGGGCGCCGTGAAACCGCCAGGGTTATGTTCGCAGCGGCCGACGTAAAATATGAAGACCACAGGATCGAAATGGCAGATTGGCCACAGATAAAGCCAAGTAACTTTAATAATGAGTTTCTAATCCCATTACATATTAGTTCCTTATATAGACGTAAATTTTTTTTAGTACTTTAGTGTGATTAGATTGTTTCCGACGAATTTTATGAATATAGAACGTTGCGTTACCAGCGTATTGCGCGGTTAAAAATTGTGAAAAATATTAATAAAGGTTCCAAACCATGTCTAAATTTAAAAAAAAGCAAAGCAATGCACGTTTTCGTTGTCAAGCACGCGCGTGAAAAGTTTTTATGTGAATTAACGACTATTAGAGTGGTTAATTTCGAGAAATCGGGATATACTATTCACGGAATATTATGGCAGTGGCTACGGGTACGGTAGCCGTATCTTAATGTCTTGAGGCTACGGGTACGGGAGTCCATTCGCTTTCATACTTAACGAGACAAAGATGGCGGCGGTGGCGCCAGATTTCCGATAATAACGCCTTGGGAAATAAGCTTCACGATTTGAGTTTAGATGAGCTAGAACCCTAAACCCTAACCCTAAACCTAAACCCTAATCCTAACCGCAAAAAGGGGCTTCAACGAACGACGGCTACCGTACCTCTAGCCACTGTGGAATATTATATATACGAACCCAATGTGTGGTTAATGCGCGAGATAGGTTCACGATCACTATTGGTCACCATATCTCTCAGTCGTCCTTACCGTCGCCTTGTCGTTGAGTGTTCGTCTGGTTTCATTAATATCTATGTCAATACTCTCTCGCGCAGCTACCTCGCATGGATACCTTCCGATATTGACGGTAGATGGTAAATGTCTTCACCAGAGTGGTGCTATCAACCGATACCTGGCACCAAAATTCGGTGAGTACGATAAACCGGTGCTAGATTTGTTCTTTTGTTCAGTCCTTCGTTCGTTCGTTCATTCGTTCATTCGTTCATTCATTCATTCATTCATTCATTCGTTCATTCGTTGATTCTAGCTTCGTGTTCGGGACAATATTTGTCGTCGTCGTAGTCGTCGCTGTATTAATAATAAATAATAATGTGTTATTGTATTAATAACTACTTAATATTTATTCATACATTTATTCACATTAATATGGAATTATGTGTGTTAACACGTGGCCTCGATGCCGCAGGCTTCATGGGTAGCAACGACTGGGAGGCGGCACTCATCAATGAGACGGCCGAAATTGGAGATGACCTGTTCCGACCAATGGCGGAATCAGTTTTCTCATCGAACAAAGCCAGAAAGGTAAATGCATACCGGTTTCACCTTCAACCTAGTTAAATAATTGAGATAGTATAGTAAGTAGTATTTACAAAACCGCATCGTTAGTTTTTAATGGTAATCAATGTATTTATCTCAACGGCTGAGCTCCGCAAAGCCTTACCAGAGGTTATCATACCTAAAACAATGAAGCTTTTGGAAATGCGGCTGAAAGAAAACGGAAACAAAGGGGTTTTCGTAGGAGAAAAGGTATGCGCGTGTTCGATTCATAGCTGTGACCTGTGGTTAGAGAATGGTTTTGCACAACAGCCGTTACCGTGCACCTAAATTGTAACCTACTTTTTGTCTTTTGAAATCTGGCTATCACAGTGATAGGGGAGCACGAAGGAAATGGTTCTTCATTGCAATTGTCATAATGACCGCGTGGTATTGCCATGTGCCATATGTGTATTATGTATACACGCGCACCGCAGAGTAACATAGGCCTATATACCTGTATCAAGAGTAGATAATAGGAGATCTCCTATTATCTACTCTTGACCTGTATGTAACGGCTGTTACTCACTAACTATAGCGAACTGTTCTTTTCTGCAGTTGTCACTTGCCGACATCGCAG